AGCAGCCTTCCTGCACCCTGACCTCCACTGTGGGAAAAGGACTCCTGAAGATGCTCAGAGAGATGGAGCACCTCTCCTATGGGGAAAGGCTGAGGGAGTTGGGGTTGTTCAGCCTGGAGAAAGCTCATTGCAGCCTTTCAGTGCTTAAAGTGAGCCTCAAGAAAGATCAGGACAAGCCTTTTAACAGAGTCTGTAGAAATAGGACTGGGGCAATGCTTTTAAACTAAAAGAGCATGCATTTAGAATAGATACAAGGAAATTTTTTTATTATGAGAGTGGTGAGACACTGGCACAAGTTGCCCAGGGAGGTGGTGGATGCCCCATCCCTGGAAACAGTCACAGTCAGGTTGGATGGGGCTTTGAGCAACCTGTTCTAGTTGGAGATCAATCATTGCTGATCTTTAAAAATGCCTTCCAACTTAAACCATTCTCTGATTCACTTTTATAAACTGGCCTGACACATGAGAGGGGTGGGAATTGCCCAAGGCTGTGCTACAGACAAGCACAGGTCTGGTTTCAGTATAGCAAGAAGCTCTACCAAGGGCACTCCTTGGTCTGAGGTGCAGGAAGGAAACAGGCATGACAAAAAATGTGCTTGTGCCTCCAAGATACAGCGTTCTAAGGGACAGGCAGCAACTGTGAAGGAGCAGAAGGTCTTGCAACAAAAATCATAGGAATTGCTTTCACAAGAAGTTTGAGGGAAAACTGGGAAAGGCATCAGTAGCATCTGGTAGTTGAGATCATCCACATGGTCTTTAGGGCAATTCAGCCCAAACTGAAATAGAAATCTAAAGGTGGGGTGTCTGAATTGAAGGTCATTAAATCTCAGTAACAGTCTAGTTTTGACTAGACTAGCTTAAACTAACAACGAGCTGCCAAAGGTGGGGAAATTAATTCCATCCACAGTGTGTGTAGCAAAGCCAAAGAAATATTTACACATCATTGCCTTTCCTAGATGCTGTTATCCTGAATCTAGTTCTCCAGCTGAGGCAAATCCAGATGATGTAAATCATTATGACTCTATTGACATAAGCTAGCCAAAAGAATGGCCAAAAGTTTCTGGGCTAATTCCTGTTGTTTTTCTAGGTTGGCATAGTTTTTAGGAATTGTGTTGAAGTGTTATTTAAATTAAAATTTAAAAGAGAAATGGCTCATTGCAGTTAAAAAAAAATATATTACTGACCTAAAAGGTGTTATAACCATTTATAGGCAGAAGAGAATGTTTTGAGAACATTTGAAAATGCCAGCTCCTTCCAGCCTTAAAGACCTCCATGAGTGCAGCATTACCAGTTAAACACAAATATCTGTATTGTGTAGAACAACCACTCCAAGTAAAAACGTGTTCTCTGTGTCAAAGAGGAATATATCAATGAATATATTAACCAAAGGCCAAGTTTCTTGGCTTGAAGCTGATAGCAAAAATTTCCTCAGTTAAATGGAGGAAGCACAATAAGAGGAGGGGCAGGCACTGAGCCCTTCTCTGTGGTGCCCAGTGGCAGGACCTGAGGGAATGGCCTGAAGCTGAGCCAGGGGAGGTTTAGGTTGGACACCAGGAAGGTTCTTCACCCAGAGGGTGGCTGGGCACTGAGAGAGGCTGCCCAGGGCACAGCACTGAGCCTGGCAGAGCTCAAGAAGTGTTTGGACAATGCTCTCAGGCACAGGGTGTGACTCCTGGGGTGTCCTGTGCAGGGCCAGGAGCTGGACTCGATAATCCTTGTGGGTCCCTTCCAACTCAGCATATTGTGTGATTCTGTGAATGTTCTGGTGTGGAGGCTGAAGGGAGTTGTGATATTCTTTTTATTTTTCTTTTTTTTTCATTTATTTGATTTCAGAGGAGCCTGGTAAAACCCAATTTATAAATTATGTAGGTAGCCAATCTATTTTTGTCTTCTGGACAACTGAAAGACATAAATATAGAAAGTATTCTGACAGTGAATTATTCTTCCTTTGCCATTACTCTGAGCATTTGTGGAGCCCAAGAGTTTTGCTGACACAAGAGAGTTATACAGGTTCCCCCAAAGTAGTGCAGTCATTTGCTGTTACCACAAGGCATGTGATTTTTCTTCTTTCCCTTCAGTTTAATATATGTTACAATTTTTTAGTTGAAAGAAACTAGAAAATGGCAAAGGACAGGAGAAGCATAGTCCTTGTCTCTAGATGGATTTTATCTGGGAGCACACAAAGTAAAAACTTTCAGCTGGTATAAGCCTTCACACTTGTCTTGTAGGCCCTTTTAACTTTTGTTTCACCTTCCTTTAGATTTCTGAGATACAAGACATGCCATTGCTTCATCTTTTGGATTTATACAGCATTTTGTTAGAAATGTTCACCTCTGTTAATATTTTGTACCTTTTATAGCCCCTTTATGGTAATATTTTAGCTCACCGCTGTCTTCATCTTCATTTCATACATGTAGGCCTCAATCAGTTAGTTACAGGTCTCAGTTAGTGTGGGGTCTCTCAGGGATCCTCATCCAGAGGTTGCTTGATCTCTCCAAGCACCCTAAAAAAAGGAGTTCCCTTCATTTCTATTCACCCCCTCTTCAGTAAGATGGTGGAAACCACACAATGTGTTCAGTTTCTTTCTTCTCAAAGAAATATTAAGCCAAAGAGGGTTAATATGCATTGTCCCATTGCATCTGTGAGGCAGGCAGAAGAAACACCACAACAACATAATGAGTGTGTTTTTAATTACATCTGAAGGGCACCTCCCTTGTTTCAATGTCCTTCTCATCTTCCCTGCATGTGCTGTTGCTCTGTCTAGTGCATGGCCTCCTTTAGGGCACTGGGGGCTCATTCCTGGGGAGTTTTAGGGCTTCACCCAGTATTGTACAGTGAGTATGTGCCAAGTCTTTATTCAGGCAAACTAGATAATCTGCATTGCAGCTTCAAGTGGGAGAAGCACTGAGGCACCTGCTCTTTATTTGCCTGATGGAATAGAAAAACTTGATACCAAAAATAAAAGAGAAAAGAGATGTTGGCCCCAAAACTGACCCTCCCTGGAGCACGTGTTTGAGCAGCCAGGAATAAAACCCCAATATTTCACTGTGGGCTGCACAAGAGGGAAGGTTTTAAGCAGATTTTTTTTGCCTTCTCCAACAGATGTGTTGACAATCCATAAGCATATGGCTCTTGTTCACAGGAGCTATTTGCCCCCAGCTTTATTGTAATTTACAGGCAGTTTCCCAGTCCCCATTTCTCTCATTTCTTAACTATATGTGTTTACTCAAGAGAAAATGGTAATAATCCTCTAAAGCAGAAAATGGATGGAATTTAGTCCAGTCAAAACTAATCAGATCCTTCAGATTTGAGTTTTATATACTTCATTTAAATCTTTTGCTAATGAGCATTGACAGAAACACAGACCAGTGTTGGTCACAGGGAATTCACTTTGTTTTTTCCTCTTTTCTCTGCTGGTGCCCACATTATCTGAAAAAAGTGGGGTTTTTAATTTGTTTTTTATTACTTTTTTTAATCAAAGACATTATTGGTTTCTTATTGCTTTGTGGGGACAGATTGAATAATCAAAGCTGCTTCTGTTTGCAACACACAAAATTATTTGAGTTAATGTTGCAGATGCTAAGAGACAAGGACTGCATAACAGAGTCTGGAAATCTCTCTTCCCCCACAGCAAGAATGTTCTTTGTACTTTGAGGCCCCAAGAGTGTGAAAACTTGTCTTTGGTGGGTCTTAATGTTGCAAAGGCAGGTTATTTGTAGGTTAGGGCTTCAAGGTTTACCCACAGAGTGAAAAAAGTTACTTCCTACTTTCCTTACTGGATCCTGTCAGCTCTAGAGACTTCACTTTCTTGAGGGTTCACTGAGTAATCTGATGTGTTTGACAGCCCAAAAAAGCACCACATAAAAGTGGTCTTAACTATTTCACAGCTAGGTCATGAATAGCAGCAAAAAAAGCCTGGCTATAGACATGATGTGCCTCCAGTACATCATCAACAAAACTCTGACTTTAAACATTTGCTTTTCCTAAGATAATGCAATGTTATAACAGGAAAAAAAAAAAAAAAAAAAAGGAATTCTTTATGAAAGTAGGGCTCAGGAGATGCACTAAAAACTTAATTGCTTCTGCAGCTTTTATGAGTGTGATTCATCTGGTGCACCTTTACCTAGCTGTGAGTTAAGTGTTTAATCTACACTGGCTATTCAAGTCACTTCTGTGAGACAGACAGGTATTTGTAGTTCACCCAACCTATCCCAAGTGATGACTTTTTACTACTTTCTATGACAAGTGAGTCTCTTTCTCTTCCTAAACACATAATTTAGATGGATTTATCTCACTACCTTCATCATTCCCTTGACATTGTAGCATCAAGGACATTTTTTCCACCTTTTCCTCTGGCAGAGTTTTTGGGGATACATACAACACCATAGGGGTGCATATACATGACTATCTATATACAAAGGCCTGGATAAATGCCTGCAATAAAATACATTTTGTATTTACCTGGTCATTCTTCTTGTTCTAATCTTCAGGTCTTTAAATGAAGTTTATACAGTGTCCAAGAGCATGGTGTCTTGACTTAGAATAATTTAACTTACCCTTAGAACATTTGGGGCCCAGAATAGTAATCTGTTGCATGACAAAATTACTGAGTAATTCTTGTTTCTGTAATGATGGACTCTGAGGCATGTGGCAAAATCTCAAAAGCCTGGTTAGCTGATCAACCTGGTTTCTTAGATTGACTGACAAATTTCTGAGAAAGTGTCTGATCCCAGACATACTGGTTTGGTATTATATTTGCAAATAATAGCACTGAATTTTGTGATCTAGTATTTGCAGTTCTAGGCTCATCAACACTTCCCATGAACAATCACACTGTTAATGTCTTGAACAAGATTGGTCTCGTTGATCTCATTTTCTTTTTTCCTTCTCCTTGCAAGTAGCCCTGTTGTGCTCCTGTGTGTGATTGTAAGCTGCTCTGTGATCAAACAAAATAAACAAAGTTGATTGCCTTAATTTTGCTTTGTTTTTTTCTCCTTTCAGTGGCTGCATCAACTGCTAATTCCACAGCTGGTGCGGCCATGAATTCTTTGACTTCTCTGGGTACTCTCCAAGGACTGGCTGGAGCCACTGTTGGACTGAATAATATTAATGCACTAGCAGGTACCGTAAACAGTGAGTATTTATTGCTGTGGTGGACAGCCTTCCCCAATAATCATGCCACAAAAACTATCAATTGCAAAGTGATAATATGATTTTTAACCTCTACACCAAATAAGGCGGTCAAGTTGATTCAGTTCCATACTACTACTAGCATATATAGTTCTCTGGAGTCTTTTAGTTTCACACAGTTTGTTCTGCAAAGTGAATTTCCTTGTGTGCCTGCAGAAAGACTCCTCTTCTTGCAGTAAATGTGGAAGGTAAAGGAATTGTCACTGGGGATTTGGGTTGTCAGGGTTATACAAGAGGCTCCTATTTCACTGGGGGAGTCTGACAACAGGCGTGTCACCCCAATGTACAAAACCTCACTGAGAAATGTAGTGCCACAGAGGCAGTCCTTTAAAACATCTGTAAGAATTATCTAATTGAGAGCAACATGCTTTAAAAATGAGGGCAAGTCTTTGGCTTTTAATTGGCAAGTATGGGAGAACATGCAGTCAGTCACCTGAAATGCCAGAGCACACACACCTATCCTATGACATCTTAAGAAACCCTGGCATCTCCAGCTAAGAAGATGCCAGTAGTTGTTAGAACATTCTTTGTTCTTAGCCCTGGTCAAGATTTTCTTGAAGAAGGAGGATTATTTTTTTTATATTATTGTTTCTGCTATGATGATTTCACCTTTGCCTGTAACAGAAGAGATTTGCCCAGCCGCATTTTTCTCCCCTCCCTCTTTTTTTTCTTTAGCTGCTGTTGCTCCTTGCATTTCCTTTTGCAATGCAAGGAATCTATTTGGTCATTGCCAGTCCATGACCCATCATAATGTCCCCTCAGGAATGGATGTCCTCCTCAGTATCTCTTGCTCACTCTGATGCTCTGCATGATGTCCTTTCTGTCACTGTTACTTGGCTGCTCACCCAATCTTTTTGTTCTGTGATCTCTGGTTGGCATTGTTGGGAGCTGGGAAGGAAGGGGGCTGATGGATGTCCATGTAGCAATGTTGAATGGTTGCATGGGGTCTCGTGTAAAACAGGACTTGCTTCTGGCAAGGACATGTGCATTTCACACAAAACAACCTCTTTGTAAATGCAACTCAAGGACAACTTCAGAAAAATCGGTATTAGGTCCCAAAATGGCAGATGTTAGTTTCCTTTCTTCTTATTCCATTAGTGTCAAAGCAGGCCACTGGAAATGGCATGCACAGAAGGCTAACTTACCTCCTCTCCTCTTGTCAGCTCTTGTAGTGAGAGAGCTACCCTGTCATTAGCAAGACACCATTAAATGTCCTTTCTGATTACCAGCCATTGTGCTTCACTTGGTGTATAAAAACAAATCACAATATCAAGAGCAAAATATGCCATCCCACTCCTTTCCCTCAGCAAGTAGTAGGAAGTACTGGAGCACTCCAGCATAATGTATCCCTTCATCAAAACCAAGCAGGAGTGAATCCTGTGAGCTCATTGTGTGGGAACCCTTCTGTTGCACTCCTTTTAGCACTCCTTGCTAGGCTGCAAGCAAAGAGTTTACATTTTCTCAGCAACTATTTTGAGGTGATGTGTGTGCAAACTTACCTGCATGTGTCATTTGAAGTATTAATGATGTATTCACAACCTGGTACCAAATTTCAGTTTGTTTTAAGTCACCATTGCTTCCATGGACTTGTACTGACAGTGACTGCAGTCCCAAATCCTCTTCATGGATGTTTTTATGGATCTGTGTATGGTGCTTACCAAATGTATGTGGGTATGTCTGTCTATGCATATACATACTTGAGAGAGAGTTAAAGAGGGGAAACTGCTTCCCCATGACACAGCTCAGCATTAGGGCAGTGTTTCCTTCAAAAGGGAATTTGATTATCACTTTCTGGTACTCATGAGGATAGTGAAGCATTGCTCAAATTACAATAACCTCCCCTGTCTATTTTAATGACAGTTTGGGGCTTTTCCTGATCACCATGTCTGGCTCAGTCATGCACACTCAAAACTTGGGAGATTGCCTTTGGGAAAGCTCATATTCAGTAAGTCTGGTACTCCACACTGACATGGCTTATACCATGGTCACAAGCAAGCCCATAAGAAATATTCACTGGCCATGAGCATTCCTGAAGTAACTGTGCAGCAAACTGGGAATTGAGTGACATGCTTCTAGCTGGGGAATTAGAAAATCCAAAACATAAATAAAGCAGAGCTTAATCCAAAAATTAATCAGAAGGTGGCACTGGGCTTGGGCATTGATTTATAGAGAGATTTGAAGAGATGTTCTTCTGCCTAACCCAAGTCCTGCCCTGCACATGAGAATCACATGGAGAATGTCTTCCCCACCGAGCTCACCAGAAGACTTTTATCCGTTTTCTTGGTCCTGTCTGGGTCTGTGAAAAGAAGCTGTGCTATGAAAGTTGATAGTGCTGTCATTGTAGAGAGAAGCATTTTAAAAAGATGTCTGGAGGCCTTAAATAAAGTGGAGTATGGTAAATTTAGGTGTCTCCAAGGTTTTGGCAACAGTTCTACCTAAGTGTGGGGATTTAGTCTTTCCTCAGTTATTCTTGTAGCACCTAAAGCTTTAAATGGCAAAACACTAGACTGCCTGCTTTAAGCATGTAAATTTAAGAAGTCTACATACCAAAAAGAATTATGAATTATGAGGAAAAATTACTAAAGAGGGAGGAAGTGATTATTTGCAATTAAGAAAAAAGACCATACCTTCAGAATACTGGACAGCTATGGCACAGTATTTATGTGTGACCCCAGGGCAGTCACTTAGCCTTTTTGCCCCTTTATTTACATCTGTAAAACAGAGATAAAACTATTCATGACAGATTTGAAGGTGCTTGAAAAGCACTTTGAGAGACCTTTGGACTTGCCAAGCTTTGTTGCTTTTGTACTATGTAAAGAAACTCAGAAAAGTAGAAGGCCGTAGATGAGAGGCTCCAAAAGGTTATTTCACAGAAGGGAGGAAGGGACCAGAGTTCAGTGTGTGACTGAGGTGCACTGGTAGAGATAATAAAGAGATGGCAGAGATGCGTAACAGCAGCTGGGCCTCGCAGATTTCATAAAAATGTAAGAACAGAAAGTGTTGGGTGCTTTCTGCAGCTGTGCTTTGCTCAGGAGGGAGGTGTTTGCCACACGGGGGCCGTGGCACAGGAGCTGTGCCCTTCCCAGGAGCTGTGGGCTGCGTTGTCTGGCTGATGGCAGATCTGGAGCCACAGGGAGGGAAGTGCTATTGATTCCAGGGGAAAGGAGGGGGAGGATGCTGCCCACTGCAACACAGAGCATGTTTATCTAATAGGCCAATGACTCACGAAAGATAACATGGTATCCTAATGCTACCTCTGTTACCAAGTTATTTCAACGCTCGAATGAAAGGAGAGACACAAGCTGCTTTATCAGGAGCCTTTAGTTTAAACAGTCCATGCAAGCAGTGACACAAACCTAAGTACAGAACAGCAGAGCAGGCAGCAGGCAGCCTCAGGATCAAATTATTAATAGTAGTAATATTTAATATATAATATAGTTGTTATTATTATTGTTTTATTTTATTATTTTTTTATTATTATATTTTGAATGCCACTCTATCACTCCCACTCCTGAACTGGATAGGGGAGAGAAATAACAAAAGGTTTGTGGGTTGAGATAAGTGCAGGGAGAGATCACTTACCAGCTACCATCACAGGCAGAACACTCCTGACATAGAGAAATTAGTTTAATTCATTACCAATCAATTCAGAATAGAATAATGAGAAATGAAGCCAAATCTTAAAAACACCTTCTCCCCATTCCTATATTCCTCCCAGGATTAACTTTATTCCTGAATTCTCTACCCACTGTGCCCAGTGGTGCAGGAGGACAGGGAATGGGGGCTGCAGTCAGTTCATCACACATCGTTCCTGCAGCTCCTTCCTCCTCAGGGCTGGACTCCTCACATTGCTCCTCTGCTCCAGCATGGGGTCCCTCCCACAGGACAGAGTTCTTCACCTTCTCCTTCAATGTGGGTCCCTTTCCAGAGGAGCACTCCACAAATTGCCCCAGTGTGGGTGTGTTCCATGGCATTTCCCTTCAGGAAGAGGCTCTTCCAGACTGGGTCCCCCACGGGGTCACACAGCAAACCTACTCCAGTGCAATCCTCTCTCCACAGGTGCTGCCAGGAGCACTGCCTTCCTGTGGGGTCACAGCCTTCTTTGGGCATCCACCTGCTCTGGTGTGGGCTCCTCCACGAGCTGCAGGTGGATCCCTGCTCCCCCATGGACCCCCAGGTGCTGCAGGGCACGGCTGCCTCACCCTGGGCTGCACCAGGGGCTGCAGGGGAATCTCAGCTCCTGCCCCTCCTTCTCCATCGACCTTGAAGGGCTGTTTCTCTCACACACTCTCACTCCTCTCTTCTCTAGCTGCAGTTACCATTGCTCAGGGTTTTTTCTCCTCCTTTTACCAAGTTACCTCAGAGGTGTCACTGATGGGCCTTGGCCAGCAGCAGGTCCTTCTTGGAGCCATCTGGAATTGGCTCTGTAGGACGTAGGGGAGGCTTCCAGCAGCTTCTCAGAGAAGCCATCCCTTTATCCCCACCACCACCACCCAAACTCAATACAGTTTTATAACTGGAACCATTATACAAGAAATACCCAGGTCTGTTGAGCTCTGACACGGGTTTTTGTTCGAGGCAGTGGCAGCCAGTACCTCCCATCAGGGTACAGTGATGCTCTGAAGTGGGGTGGAGGGGAAAGAGAAGTCTTCAAAGTGAGACATTTTATTAAGGAAAGGCTAAGAATATCACATCTCTGTCAAGTGTTTAGTCACACAAATTATAGTAAGATCAAAAGGTATAATTTATGCAGTACAATTCTCTTAATTGGCACAGAGTCTGGTGGAGCCAAAAAGGTGCCACTTGAGCAATTGTCCTGATTATTGGAGACTCAAAGGAATATGCTTTTCAAATCTACATAAGAGGCAGAAGGATACTGGGGTCAGCATCTTTATCCTCCTCTGTCAATGCTGGATAATTCCCTGCAGTATTCTTCCTGTATCTAAATTACACATGGAAAAGGTTTCTGCCATCTTCCTTGAAGAATGTTTCCCAGTCTAATTAAATTATTAATTTACTATAAAGTGTCCTCTGCTTAATTTCCCCACTTTTGCCCAATTTACATACCAACCCTTATTACTGCCCTGAAATTAAGCCCTTTCCTTCTCTTTACTGTTCCTCTCTTTGGGATCTTAATATGACACCACCAGTCACATCTTCACCCACCATTTTACCAATCAAAACATTAGACATTGTCTAAGAACTGATTGCTGATGATTTTAGGTGCCCCCCCCCCCCATTTTTCTAGGGACTGATCCTCTGTACCTCTACAGGCCTGTTAAGCCCTTTAGGTTGTTTGTGAGCTGTTCACCTGGAAACTGGGGAGCTGGGATGGCTAATTGTGCAGAAAACATGCTCTGCCTCTCAGTCCTGGTGGGCTCTTAGTGCTCAGGCTGACATAGGCTGGGTGTGTGGAAGTTGAGCAGAGCGCCGAGCCCTGCCATGCTTTCAACTTCCAACAGCAAATTCACTTTTTCTGGAATTTCTGAAAGACCTGCTAGCAATGTTAACTCCAACATAACTCATTTTGGAGTCATGCTGAGCGATAGAAGCAGAGGAGGGAAGCTGTAGCTCAGGAGTTTGTCCACCATCAAATCAGAGCAGTACAACTCCTTATGCAGCCCACACTGTTTGCACGGATGAGGGATGTCATTTTCTGCACAGCTAGCAATCCCATCTGAAATTTCCTCTTTAGCAGCCATCCCAGTTAAATTACTCTGTTACTTATCAGGATGGAGAATTGCTGAAAGTTAAAAAAAAGGGACTCGGCTTCCCTTGTGAAGAAAAACATTGCTAGAAATAAATGCTTTTGTTTCTTCATGAAAGATGCCTAGTCTGGGTGAAGTATTTTTAGTCACTCTGGGTGTGCTGTTACTCATCTCTTGTGGAGTGGCTGGAGTAACTGGAGGAGGAAGGTGGAAGCAAAGAGCATCACAGTCCATCTTTCTACCACAAGCCTAGGAGACAAAGTCTGTAATTGTGTAGAGGGTTATAATAGAAGCATTTAGGTTGAAAAAGGCCTGTTTTAAATGCAGTTAATTAGGTGTCACTACGGGACACGAAATAACACAACGCGCACACACTGCTGTTCTCAAGGCAAAAAAGGGAAGTTTATTTTCTGACTCCAACATTTATAGATTTCCAAAAGTGACAGTGGATTGGAGGGTTGAAAGTGCCACCTCTCCAATGACACTGGACAAACCAACAGTCCATCAAATTTCTCCTTCTCCATAAAAGAATGCAAAGCAATAAGTTATTTACAGGTGTGTGAGAAAGTTCATTACAAGAATGTAAACATCAGAAGGCTTAGAAAATCTCAAAAAATCAGGGCAACAGTTAGGCTTCTCTGCTTACTCTGTATAAGCAAAACACTTCTGATCTGGTATTGTCATGGCTGTTGCTGAAGACCCTGGTCAGAGAGAGCGGGTTTCCTCACAGACTGCTTTTTCCACAGACAAGGACACAGGTCAAACAGGTCCCACACTGCCAGCCTCAGACACCCACAGCAGAAGCACGGGTGTCAAGGAGGACGAGCAGAGAGGCTCTCAGGAGCACAGAGCTGTAGTACTTGCCAGTAGCAGGCTGCATGCGAGTCCATTTGACTGTGCAACCCTTGTGCTGAAGTGACCCTGATGCCAAAGTCGTGTTTCTTTGTCCTCAGTCCCATTTTTGGTGACGTGCCGAGCTGCATGCACTGCTGTCGTCCTCAGTGTCGTATAATACCAACGACTTTCGGAAAGCACTAATGAACAAGTGCAATTTCTTTTCTCTATTGTTGGGTTTTTTGTAAAGTTGCTCAAATGCTCTCAGGTATGGCGGCCCTGAACGGAGGACTCGGCGCCACAGGCCTGACGAACGGCACGGCCGGCACCATGGACGCGCTCACCCAGGCCTACTCAGGAATCCAGCAGTACGCGGCCGCCGCGCTGCCCACCCTCTACAGCCAGAGCCTGCTGCAGCAGCAGAGCGCCGCGGGCAGCCAGAAGGAAGGTAAGTCCTCGGGAGTTTGCAGTTTGTTGCAGCCCCGAGACGCGTGAAAAGTCTCTGTTTCGGCCCGCGCGTCCGAAGAATGAGTCGGAGTTCTTCAGCTCTCGGTCTCAGGGTTGTTTATTGTATCTTATCTATAAAAATTTTTCTCCTGTCCAGCCGAGGTCCGTCCAGCAGGACAGACAGAGGCACTCTGACTGCCCCCGGGGCGGTGTTATCTCTTTATACTACAAACTTCATATAACATGTTTACAATTATTTTCCAATACCTATCACCTATATTAGACATTGAGTTTCTACTCTAGACCAATCCCAAAGTGCCAACATCACAGCAGAAGATGGAGGTAGAGAAGGAGAAGAAGAAAGGCTGGACACGCCCAAGTCCCTCCATCTTGTCCCCAAAACCCCTATTCTAAAAACCCCAAAATCTACATTTTCACCCTGTGATAATTTTATTATTACACTACTTAAACTGCTGTGGCTTTCAGGTCTTCATACAAAGCTGGTAATTTGCTCCACGGGTCATAATCAAACCCACAGGTGTTCTGGGCTGTGTGCCAGGGTCTCTGAGCCCCCTGGCAGGGGTCCTGGCAACTCTGGACACCCAGAGGGATGCACTGAGTTCCGACAATAAGTGTCCGTGCCAGCAGACCCAGCCCAAGCTGTTTCCTCCTGGAGGCTTTGTGGAAGGCCTCAGGCCATCTAATCTGTGATTTCTTCTTCCTCCAGTTTCTTTCTGCTTGCCACTGTCACCTTCTTTGATGTCTAATGTGTTTCACTTTTCAGCCGTCAAGTTATGCTTTGCCACCCATCCCTTCCTTATATAAAAGCATTTACCACCTACCATATAAAAACCGCTAACAAAAATCTTCCCTCTGTGGATGCAATTTTGCCTTCTGGTTTCCATTTTCTGTCCTAGTGGAGTTAATCTGATTGAGGTTTTGAGCTAATGACAAGATCCGTTTTCACTTTGAGTGGTTCTTTGCTTAATTGTGGGTCTTGTGAGGAAGCAGCTAAGTGAATGATTGCGCCCCTCTCCCCACACCAACAGCAAATAAACCTCAGGAAGTTATTGCTAAGAATAAATGAATACTAATTAAAAGGTGTTTAGGAAAATGAGGCTACCCTTTTCCCCTCTTCCGTTCCCCTTCATGCTTCCCAGGCATTTTCAGGGGGGTTGTTTCTGTTTTCATTGCTTTCTCCTGTCCTAATTTCCAGCTAATTCTACAAAGACAGGAAAATACTGCATGCTTTCTAAGACTGTATCTATGTTGTCACTACTGCTCTTGCCAAGAATAAGCTTTGGAAATAAACCTAGTATAATATCCTCAAGAGAAATCTTTTTTATCCTCTTTTGAAATAGTATTTTGTACTGTTATGGGATGTGTTTCCTAGGAAGACAAATTTGGCATTCCCCCAGCTGGTTATTGTATAGGGTCACTGGAGTTCAAATGTATATTTTCTCTCAAGTCTTTTCTCTCATTTGCTGCTAAAAGCTTGAATTATTTAACATGAAAGGGGATTTTTTTTAATGTTTTTTTCCACATTTTTTGTTTTCTGCATTTATCTTTCACCTCAGGCACTTTGGTCAGTGACAATAGACTATTTGACACCAGAAAAAAATTGTTTATTTGGTGTCATTGCAAGATACATAGTGAAGGACATCTTGATTTTTTTTTCTAGCTATTTTAATTTTTCTCTGTTTAGAAACATTCAAATCAGCTTAGGTTTATTTTTTATTTTTATGAATTGCCAGCATCCTTTTTAAAACACAATGTTTTTGTTATATATCTTGTATCTGTTAGTAGGTGGTTAAGTTCAAGTGAGTGAATTCCAATACTGAATACTGACAATGTTTTGTCTCTTACCATGATTTCTGATGGAAGAGTCTGGAGTGGTTGAGGATAAACAAGTACCAGAGAAAAATCCTATATAGATATTAAATGCTGAAGCACAGTGAATTGCCTTGTGCATATGCTCCTAAATATTATTTAGCAATTTTTTTTCCCTACTATTTTAAAGAACATTATTTGCTGGGAATGATGGTTTACTTATGACAAGAAGAAAAAAGTTCCAAGTGACAAGTTTATTTCATCTTTTTTTTTCCCTGCCTCCCCAGATTTTTTTTTTTTTTTAATCTAATTCATTTATCTCCTCCTTTTGGGCAAACTTTGCTACCTTTTCCTTCAGGCTGAGAGAGAGCAGCCAGCCTGATTCTGTGTGGGAGGGGTGAGGCTCCGTGGCTCTGTTGCAGAAGGAACTCTGTAAATCTCATGAGCCCTTTCCTCTTCCTCTCCAGAAAAACAAGGACATCACATCTGAGGCACATTTAGGTTCCATTAAGCAAGGGAATATGTAATCAGGCTATTCTAGGTATGGTTTTAGCAGAAATGTTTGTTCCCTTTGTGTACCACCTACACTGCTGGTGCCTGCATGGAGGCCACATCTGGCTCCATCATGTATCACACTCTTCCTGGCATCCATTGCTCATTTCCAGTGTGCTGCCATTGAGCTAGGGGGAAAAAAATAACCTATCAGCACTAGGATGGATGTTTGAACCTACACCTTAAACAATACATATCTCAAATCTTGTCTGTAAGGAAAATATTCAAAGCACTTTTGAGTTTACACCTTTGTTTGCAAACTGAACTAAGTCTAAAGCCACTTATTTGCAACCCAACTACTTAATTTTGAACTTCTTTAAAATACTTGCTTTACAAAGCTTCTTCCAGGAGACAGATCTTTGTATGGGGGATTTATATTAAAAAAAAAGCTCATTTTGAAATGAGTCAGTGCAAATTTAATTCTGAATGTCTTTTTGTCACTGACTTCACTGACTTTTAAGTCACAAGGTGTGCTTCTTCTTACTATTTTTATTCCTATCTGCAGCATTTTCTTGCCCTTTGAGTTTAAATCTGTGGTACTCAAATCTGAGCTCACCTGCTTCCGTTTCCTTAAGTTCCTGCAACTGGAATTAAACTGACAAACCCATGCAGGTGTTGGAAGCAGCAGAAGAATCCTTGTGCAGTTCTTGGGGCATTTTGAGAGCCAATACATTCTGTACCTGTTTTCCTAACCTTAATTACACTGAAAGACATTCATGTAAATTGAAGAAAGAGGATGAATTTAACTACTTCTGTAGTAGAGTTATGAAATAAACACTTTTCAAGATGGGATGCTCTCAAGAGCTGCATTTCAGCTCTGCTCTTTTGATGATCCACTTGCTTTTGTTCCTTCAGAGTTAGAAAGTGAAATGCTTTCTGACCACCAGCTTCAGTAAGTATTATGGAAAAACAGATTAAATGTAGCACTTGTAATAGCTGCTTTCATACTTCTTTTTTTTTTTATTTATTTTATTTTCCTAAAGGTCCAGAAGGGGCAAACCTCTTTATTTACCACCTCCCCCAGGAGTTTGGAGACCAGGACATTCTGCAGATGTTCATGCCTTTTGGAAATGTTATCTCTGCTAAAGTCTTCATTGACAAACAGACCAATTTGAGCAAGTGCTTTGGTATGTCAAATTTAATAAATCGAACAGTAAAAGCTGCATGCACGATCCTGAAAAGGGGCCAGGAAAGCAAATTAACAGCAGTGTGAGAAATGTCATACTGGAAAATCATTCCAAAAATAATAGACTGTTAATCCTCAAATGAGCAGGAAGATGCAAAGACAAACTACTTCTAACTAAAAATTGGATATGGAAAAAAAAAACAATAATAATCTTCCAGTCTGACATCTCGCATGAATGTGTCAAGTACATGAAACTAATTACACCCTATGTGGGGGAATGTCATTTAGTATACTATTAAATTGCCTTATTATGGATACCTAATTATTCTCTATTGTATAGCTGAGCCACTTAAAAAAGCTCTATGTTTAACCCATTGCTTCTACATTACAAGAATTTCTTTCTTCTGAATTAAGTACAAGATTTTGCAATTAGTGGCTGAATGGTGTGTACATTTAGTTCAGAATATGCTGCAGACAGTTGATGTTTAGCTGTGCAGCTCTAGCTGTTGTGGGTGGGTTCCAGTGTGTTATGGAAGGTGGCATCTCCCTCACCTTAGGGCAGGGATGAAGAGAGCCTCACAAGATCAGTGTCAAGTTTCCCAGAGAATACTTTGAGCTGTCAGAAAATTAGATCACAGCAGAGAAGGAGATGATATGTTGGTATAAAAATAGTTTTAGGGTTGATTAGGAGGGCTGATGTCTTTGGAATAGCAGAGATGCACCAGTTCAGTGCTTTGATGGAGTGGAGCAGAGAATGTCAGTGTGTGGTAAACTTCTGGAGCATTGGTCTAATAATTATGGTCTTATACAAGACACAGTGAGGATTTAGGAGGTGGAAGGAATCTCTCAAAACATGAGTTTTGTAGGGGTTGATATAAAGTACTGGAATTTTCTTTAAAGTGGCAATTCTTTCCCAGAGTAAAGGAATGCACCTGTATATATGACAAAAGAGGGATGGACAGTACACTTGGAAAGTTGATTCAGTTCACAGAAAGAGTGTGACATTCTTTCTGCATTTTCCCACAGTCTTTCAGTTCATTTTTGAAGCATTCACCTGTTTAGGCTTTACAAAAAATTATTCATATCTACACCAGTATAGTCCAGCCTGTGTCTGCAATGGGTTAAAGCAGTCCCTGAGGCTCTTGCAAATTAGAAAAGTGGAATTGAAATGGACTCCCCATTGATCTGGAGCCAGTTCTGTTAGTATGTTGGGGGTTACAAAATTGTTGTTGAGGTCTCCAGGAATCTTGATGAAAAGACAAATCAAGCTATGTTAATCAAAATGCAGCAATTGTGGTGACTGCTGAAAGAATGTAAATCAGTTTGGGCAGGTGGCTCAATTGATCAGATCGTTTCCCACACTTGCTTTTTGTGCATTTTCTTTTACTCTTTGATTACCTTCTTACACATTTGCCTGGGTTGGTGGGACACAATTGCCTAACTTAGTGATGCACCAAAGTTATCTGCTTCAAGGGAAAATGGAGATGTCAACCCCCAATGGATGGAGGAATCCTCTGTCTTTTTGGTTTTAGGCAGCTTTCTCTGATATTTCCATTTCTCATTCTTCCTTCCCAGATACTCTGCCACCAGGGAGGGAGCTCTGCTTTAAAAACAAAAAGTAGAAGTGGCAGATGAAGCTGAGTTTTCTGATTAGTGGGTGACCATGTGGTGATGCCGCAAATCACAGGCAATGCCAGAATTAGTCCTGCTAGCTTAATATACTGGCATAGTCTGCATTCACCTCCTCAGCTTTATTAGCAAGAATGGTCTAATTTTTATTTTGGTCCTACATCTGTGTTTCAAAAAGCTTTTTTTTTTTTTCTGTCCTCCCACCCAAAAACTATGACAATAATGCTGCTGAAGAACCCATTTCTCTGCTGAATCATTTATGGTCGTTGCACTTGGTACAGTTTGGGTTTGGGTTTTTTATTTGTTGGTTTGGGTTGGTCTTTATGCCCCTAGTAATAGTAATTGTAATAATTTGCACATGCTTAGGCAGGAGACTGGAAACTCCAGAGAAAGAAGCTCTGGAGTTTCCAGTCTCCTGCCCAAAGGAGGAGGAAGTCAAATTACAGATGAGAACAGGTTAAACATCCAAAAGGTGTGAAGATTGTCTGTCTGGCAGAAATGGGAAGGTTTATTCTGAGTGAGTGATAGACAATGATGAATCTTTATGTAAAACTGCTTCACAAAATGAAAATTTTCTTTTCTGTGCAGAAAAAGGACGTAGGCATATTTTCTTTTCTTGTCCAACCCAAAATGAATGCTCAAAGGAATAAATGGTGATGAGAATGACAGAACAGTGTGTTTACACCTGGAAGTGCTCTTCCATGAATTCTCACATGCTCCACGGGCTTTAATTGATTCAGCAGACAAAGGGTTTCTCTATTCCAGCTTATCTCTTGCCTTTCATAAACTTTACAATAAGAAAAATGAGATATGTAAGTAAGGCAGAGGAGGGGGAACTCAGTTACATCAATGCAGAAATGCAGTCAGCCTTATAGCAAAATTGTTACTTGAATGATGAAAATTATTTATCCTGATTATAGAGCTACCCAAAGATCTAAAACAAAAATCAGAATTGTCATGACAGGGTCTTTGAGAATTAAGAAACATCATTCTGACTTCATGTAACCTGTGGTTTAAAATTCAGACAAAAAATGATGAATGGGTGCAATCAGAAAAATACAAATAAAGGGAAGAAATTCTAGATTCCTCAGTAAGATTTATAAATGAAGGTTCTCAATAAGGAAGAAGATGAGAGCGTAACAAGCTTATGCAGGTATTGCATTCTGTATAGAGAGACAAATTGTGAATCCAAATAAGAACTGAATGATAGGGGCCGATGCCAGCAGTGAGCTTCTTTCTCTTCATTCACCATCCACAGATGCCAAGTGACTAGTTTAGATCACTTGCTCACTTTCCAGGTGGATAAAACTAGGTATGGAGGAAAGGAACTATAGTGATGATAAGTTCATAGCAGTAATATGCACTTAAGAGAATAAAGTGAAGGTCAGGAAAGCTGTAGAGGGAAATGCTGAATTGGAAGGTAGGCAGGAGCAGCTACACCTCAGCTGTGGAGCATCTGCCTGGACAGTGCTACAGCTGCCCCCCAACTCATGCTAGTTCCCTTTGCTGTCCCTGAGGCAATCCTAGAGCTCATGGAGGGAGACCCAAGATGTAGAGCTAAGATAATGATTGGAGTCATGTGAACAGACATGATCTCCTAGAACCAAATAGGGGAAAGGAAGAAAGGAAGAGAGTGATGAAGCTCCTCATGATTTGGCAAAAAATTTATGAGGGAATGATCTCAGGGAGAAAGTGAGGAAGTGGCAAGAGTTACTAAAACCAAGGAAGGCATGGAGGAACATTTATTATCCCTTAAGAAGGTAACAAATAATCAACCACAGGACAATATGGATAGAGAATATTGGCTTTGGCCGGGAGAAGGTTGGCAGAGGTTTAAATGAGAGGTGGTTTTGAGTGGAAGGAACAGAAGTTAGCCTGAGTTGTCAGAAAAGAGTCTTAACTTAAATAGTTTGGTGAAGCTGATTTAAGGTGAAGCCACAGGGATGATCTATGAAGGGGAAAAGCTGGACAAGGATACCTTGATAAGGAGGGAAGATTTTATGCAGCAGGGAAAGCATAATAACACCCTGACTCTGCAACTGGAAGAGGGCAGCAGTGCAAGAGCCATAAAAGGATAGGTTAAAGTATTGGTAGAAAGAGGTTATGAATCCAAGAAGAGACAGAAGAGACACTAAGCACAAATGAATGAAGCTGGTTGAGGAAAGAGAGGCCCTGAGAAGCCTGTGTGTTAGGACTGAAGACAAAGTGTGGCATCCATGCTTTAGAGGAATGAAGGGATATATGTTAAGGCAAATTCAAGTGGAAAGAAGAGGGAGCATTTCACAGCAGATGCACAGCAGCAGGCTGAGTGCAGTAATAATTAGCCCAAGCTGAGGCAGAGCAGCAGTTAGGTGAGCTTTGCAATTACAAGTGGGAGGCCCAGATATGAAAATGAACTTTGAGCTTCCAGAATCAGGGAGATTTGAATATATTAAGAACAGAACATTTTCAGTCTCCCAGGGAAAAGAAATCTGAGCCAGGCCAGCCATTCTGAATTACCCAAGCAAGCATTATCCTCCTAGTTAGTGCTCACATGCGAGGAGCAGATCTTGGAGTTCTCATCAAACCCTACCATTGTCTTTATGATGCTGCTTAATTCTGATGTTTGCCTACCCCTTTGGGGACCAAGAGACTGAATTAACTAACATTAAGGTACCCTGAGATCTTGAACTGGAAGGAGCTGTAAAATTACAAAATATTAATATTGCAACTGTCCTAGGCCGAGCCCAAGGAGCTGAATGTTCCATAGCACACATGAACTCACACCCAGGTGTGCCAGTGGGTTTAGGCAGTTTGGGGGTTTGATTCTGTAACCAGGCTTGCTGTTTCAGCTTCCCTTTTGCAGACTGGCCTAAATAGCACTTCCTAATAGACTGGGAGGTATGTAGATACTGCACTGAAAAGTGTTACAGTAATAAATATCTTCAGTCTCTAAGGTAGGTATATAAATAACAAAATGGAAACTGCATTGCACCAAAATTGGCCAACTGCATCCCAGCTAGTAAAGAAACATTATGTAGGTAAAGAGGAAGGCAAAAGGAAACAGGAGAGGAAATGGGATATGAAATGTGATCAAAGAACTAATTGAAAGCCAGGTGAATGTGTCAAATAAATAGCAATCATAAAATTCTTACAAAGTGCCTTCTGACATTTGTTGTAACCCAGAGCTGACTCTCTCTCCCGCCTGTGCTCTGTGTCTTGCAGGTTTTGTTAGCTATGACAATCCGGTCTCTGCACAAGCTGCTATCCAGGCTATGAACGGCTTTCAGATTGGCATGAAACGCTTGAAGGTTCAGCTGAAACGCTCCAAAAATGACAGCAAACCTTACTGATCTTAACCCCAGATGCTTACTGCTCTTATTTTAGCTTTCTTAGGGTAAGTCCCATGAGCAAACCTGTCCTCTGCAGGGGGGTTAAGAAAGAACATAGAGCCAACCTTCACCAAGGGACAGTTATTTTTACAGTTACCACTTCCATCTCCCCACTTGTCCTTACTGCACTTGGCTCCCATTTCCTTGCCAAGTAATTACTGAGTTGTGTTACTGTATTTTGTTTTGCAGCATAATTTATCTCCTTTTCGAAACAAAAATAAACGTCTTGAAATTCCAAACAGCACACACACACAGACACAAAAAAAAATGTGCAATTTAACTCTGTGAACCCTGGTGCCATTAGCACACAATAAAAGTTGTTTTCTATGGATGGATCGTATTTTACCAGGGGGGCACCAGCAGTTTATAGGTTAAACAAAATGGCCTCATGCCAGTTGAAGCACTTATTTTGCAACAAAAATTGAAATAAGTCTTTCCACTACATCAACTTGTTTTTTGAGAAGATCTGATTTTTTTTCGGTTCAAATCAACGTATTGTTATATATTAGTCTGATTTTACACTGGTCGTCTTTATATTTCATTTTTTTTAAGTTCTTGTTTTTTTGGAAAGGATTAATGTAAAAAAGATTTAGAGATCTGTTTCTAAAGCTACAGGGTTTAAAATAAAAAAAAATAAAATAAAATGAGTGACAATACTTGATGTTTCTTGAGAGATAAATTTAATAATAATAAAAAAAAGAAAGCCACAGGCCTGTAAATTTTATTTGTAAAAAGCATTTCTATTTTTATACAAAATTTTTACTGCCTCAGAAATAATGGAATTTATTTATTGCCTATTGTTAACTTATTGGATACCTAAAGAGCAGCTCTCTATGCTAGCTAGATCCTTTGAAGTAGTCTCTAGAGTAATTGTGCCAAGAATGGGCGCTTTTTCACTGTTGAACCCTCCACCCTTTGCAGTTCATGCTTTTATCCTCTTGTTTGTATTTGTCTGGTTATTTTGTTCGTAGTTTCCATTACCTAGTTTAAAGTTCAGCTGTCTGACCCTTTCCCTCCCCCTGCCCCCCCTGTACCTTTCTGTTACATTTGTAGAAACTGGTTCTTTCCTCTCTTTTTCTCCCCAAAGAGGAATCCATTCTCTCTGACTCCTTTCAGATGGATCCTTTTGGGGTTCCATTGTGTTCTTGTTGACAAGTATTGTAAGTTAATGCAAATTATGTGAACAGCTCGTAGGCTCTACTGATAAAAGATTTGCATTAGTTTTCTCCTGCACCCATAAAAGTGATTTTGTTTGTGCTGCATAGATTCTGTGTAACTTTTTTTCCTCTTCCTTGTTTTTTCCCTAGACATCTCCATGCCCGTTAGCCCATCGTTTGCCTAGCATGTCCCTGTGGCGTCTCAAAAAAAAAAAAAGTTTCATCGTCCCGTCATTGTTTCTGATGTCTTTCTGACCTCACATCATATTTGGTTCTCCTACTGACCTAGTTTGACCTTTGAAATTTGCATGTGACCTCATCTAGCTATGAATTCTGGGAAGTCAATGTGAAAAAACATTGCTGCATTCATGCAAGACTGAAATTTATTACTAGATAAATTAATGATAGGATTTAAAAACAACCTGTGGCAAAATGTTTTTTCTTTCTTTCCTTTTTTGTTTTCAGTTTTGGTTTCTGGTTTTCTTCTTTCCTTGGAGTTTTTGTTTCGTTTTGTTTGGGTTTTTTTGTTTGGGTATTTTTCTTGGTTGATTTTTGGTTTTGGTTTTTTTTTTTTCATTTCGTAAAAAAAAAAATAAAAAAAAAACAGACTTGAAAGTATTATACAGGGATTGGCATTCTGCCTGGTCACTGGTGACAATAGCAATATGTGTCCAGAGGCACAGAATGTTGGTTTCTAACAGACTACTTCCAAAACAGTTTGAGAAATAAAACTGTCTGATTTTAAGTCTCTAGAGGTCTGTAATAGTTTTTACATTTTTCAGGCAGTGTAAAGTTTTTTGATAAGGCCATTTTAGGTGGCTCACTTTCTCATTAAAGTATATATATAGAACCACTTTTTGTAGATTAGTATAAGAAAATATTTACCCTGTTTTAGGGCAAATGCTACCTACTTGTGTCACCTTTTGCTGAACTGACTCACAGTTAGACAATCCATGGTTTAATGCACATGAAATTACCTATATTTTATACTGTTTCAATGTACAGAAGAAAGGTTACTGTAAAATGTGTTACGTTGGTGCTTCTGTGAATTAAGTTGTGGTTTCATCATGAGTCTTATGGTCTTAAGTGTTCTATGTTTATAAAAAGACAAGTTTAAAATTGGTTTACTTGAACAACAAGAACAAAAAGAAGATTCAAAAAAAAACACAAAAAAAAAGTTGTTTGCTTAAAAAAAAAAAAAATAATTTCATGTGAAAATGAAAAAATATTCCAGAATAAGTTTGTGTTGGCTTGTGACGCATTGATGTCATTTTTTTATTGTGAACAATTTAGGTGTGTTTGTGTTCAGCAAAATGTGATCAGTTTTTCTTTTAAAGAAAAAAAAATCAGTGAAACTATAGTGCCAAATTCCAAAGGTACTTTCTTCCTAGAGCTTCAGTGTGTTTCTTGTGTGAAGTAATTTGATAACATGGGTATTTTATTATGTGTTTTGTATAAATCCCTAATATTTAAAGAAAAAAAGAGGTTAAAAAGTTTGTTAACTTGCTATCCTGTGGTCTTGTTGCCTGAAATTGTTATTGTTTGTTATTTCTCTTTGATGTTTTTTGTAAAACATTGTATAAGTGCCCATGTTTCACTTTTTTAACCACTCTGCACACATCAATGCTGTGAAAGCAAACCTCACTATGTATTTTCTTCATATTGTATGGAAACCTCTAAGGTGAGAAAGTTTTGAACTTTTAACCCTTTCCACCCAGAGCTGTCTTGAGTGTTAATACCTTTTATACATTCACCATTTTGCTGTTTATTTTTATATATATATCTATATCTATAAATATATATATACTTAGTTTTTTGTGGTTTATTTAATACATGGTTGAAATCAGAACAATGCACAGGGCAGATCTGAAGGACAAAAATATTTTACTGCTGTCTAAATTTCTTCTGTATCTATAACTAAAATTATTTAAAACCGTAATTAACTTGTGGTTTTCCTTTTTAGATTTTGGGGATTTTGTCTTTTCTTAAAGAGCTTTTAATATGCTGCTGGAATATGCTATTCAGTATTAATAAAATAAAAGAAAAAGAAAACAATTCTTTAATTATCTATTGTGTGAGCCACTCCCAACCAGGAGCGGTCAATCCACCATTTGAAAACCTTGAGGAGAAAAAAAAAAAAAGAATAATAATATTTTTGTAATTTAAATAAATGAACTTTTGCTTAAATCAGATGCACTAGATCTTCCTGGGTGAAAATTCAGTGTGCACTGCAGTTAAACTACTTTTTATGGATAAAGTTTACATACACTGTAATGTTTGGTGTTATTTGCCATTATTTGTCACGGCAATATCCTGGCTTACTCCTGCAGACACTCGTTCAGAGAGGAGTAACTTTACTCGTGCCCGTGGTCCATGGGAATATCTGTGTGACTGATGGGGGTGTTTGCTGGAGGAAGCTCTTTGTAAGGAGCCAGAAAAGAGATGCTGGTAGCCCTTTTCACTGCCTTGTAAGTCTGATTGGGTTGCGTTCCTACCGCACAAACAGTGACCAACAACCAAATTCGGTTCTTTGCCACCGGTTCAGCAAATTCATTGCCAATCCAATGTGTGTGAGCAGCAGTACCTGCTACAGGTCATAAAGTGCCATAACTTCTTCCACCTCCTAGTTCTATCTGGTTATATCTGAAGCCACCTAAAATTAAAAATGAAGCCCTATATGAGCAACATCAGCTGGTGCACTCTTGTCTCTCATCCCCAACTTAAATGCTTCTTTATGTAGAGCCCTGGGATGGAAAGGACTAGCCTCTAGTGATGCAAAAAAAGTTTCCTTCTTATAGCACATGCACTTATAAATAAATGATCTATACTTTTCTCACGTTTTTACTACTGCTGGGGCCTTCCTACACCCTTTGAGGGCTATTTTGTACTACTTGCAGCAATTGTGCGTATTCGAAGTATCATCTCACGTACGTTATATTATATATATGTACATATATATATATATAATATGAGATCATCATTTGGATTGTTTAGAGACTGTTTCACTAATTTTTCTCATTGTACCCACCGTCTAAATTTCCAAAGCTTTTGTAGATGCCCTGGTGTGTCCTGTGGGTTTTCCAGTCCAGTTAGAGCGGTGATGCCTCTGGTCCTTGGGCAGTGTAACTCGGCACCAGGCTGCCCTGAATTACTCCACAGGACATTGGCTTAGCAGTGGGAGACAAGGAATGTTTCTGTACTTCCAGGCAACTGAGATGAGTCATTGCTTAGAAAAGTGTCCATCTCTAAAAAAAAAAAAAAAAAAAATTTAAAATTTCAAAAATAGAAAATAAAATTCAAATACAAAACCAAAAACCCAAACGTACACCTCCTGGGAGGCAAATTATCTACCAGTTCTCTTTCAAAATAATGAAAGGGAAAAGCTGCAAGGGTGCAAGGGCCTAATAAGAGAGGAAGTAAAACAAGGGAAATTGCTTTACAAAATTCTAATCAAAAGACTAGACTAGTTGTTTTATCAAACAAATTAGCTAATTGCAATGAAATGGCAGTCCTCAAAGGAGTAACAAGTTCATCTTTCTTTCACCATAGGGGTTACAGTTCCTTGGCTTGTGCTACTCTGGAATCATTTTACTGTTTCTGTTTTTATTATCTTAAGTGCTAATTAACAAAAGGAAAAAATATCCTGTAGTTTCATTACCTTTTTGGATAATGTCATACAAAAAGAAAAAAAAAAACAAACCTATGTATTTGTGTTTTTTTCGTGCTGTGGGAATTGTTGTTTGTAGATTAATAATACTATCATTTTGTTTAGAATTACAAACTAGTTTTTAAGTATTGTCTGAGAAAAGCCAAAGTTAATGCAATCTAGTGGAAACTGTAAGACCATTTGAGTATTGTTTCTGTTTTATTGATGCATTTGGATTTTGTTGTTTGATGGAATTTGAGCCAAAAAAAAAAAAAAAAAGAACAAAAAAAAAGGCAAAAAAAAAAGCAGGCTTTCCTATTTCTACAACTTGATTGTACTTATGCATTTTGTACCAGTGGAACTTTTTATACTGGAGATTAAAAAACAAATGGAAATTTTTGTGGCTTACTCTCGTGGGCCCCCTCGATCATGACTGATTTTCAAGTTTGATTTCTGGACGGTAGAAAGAGAGTTGGTTTTGTTTTGAGAATCCAAAACTTTGGCTTGATTTCTTTTTTTCCCTTTGCTTATATCTAGTGTTTAGAATTTTGTCTTAACAAAAGCGGTAAGTTTCACTTTTTATTCTGTATCGTGCAGTTACACAATAAGGTAATTAGAATTAGGAGTACTCGGTCACTTTGCGTGGATAAATGTATTAGTTAAAACGTTAGGGGTTTGCTTTTTTGCTGTTTAGATCAGAGTTTTTTCTGATTCTTCTGTCCTCATTGTGAACATAACCGTGTAGTTGAAACAGTCAGACTTATTTTTGTAACGTATGTTATTGTGTGATGCAGTTTTTTGCTTCTGTCTCCAATATTAAACCATTTTCCTAATACTTGTCTCTCTACTTTGTGTGTTGTATTGTTGGTGGTCATTCTGTGTTGGTAATACATCTGCACACCTCACTGTTTCACGTGCCTGTTTTTTTTTTTTTTTTTCTCTATTTGTTGGTTGTGTACAAAAGATACAGTCGATTCCACCTAAGTGAATAGCTGATTGGGGGGCAAAAGAGGATTTGTACATTTTAGACATATTCTGGTTTCTTTGATTCTTTTTTTTTTTTCTCTCTTCCTCCCCCTAGTCATGCCTTATCACTTGGATAATCTCTTGGAGCAGGAAGCATTTTAAATGAGTTTCCTGCAAAGTCCTATTGAAGGTAGCTTTTATTAGCCTTCAAACTTCAAAACCTTCTGCACACAAACACACAGAAGACACCTGAAAAGATTTCTTTTTTTTTTTTGCTGTGGCATTTCAGTCAGTCTGGAAAATGTGGATTATGGATATAATTTCTTCCTAGTTGTTAAAAAAATAATAATAATACTCTGCCACTACATTACAGAAGCATATGAAACATTCAAGAAAAGGAGGATATAGCCTTGGGATTTTTTCCAAACTGCACAGTAATCTGACGGCATATGGCGTTAGTCAAACTCTCCCTAGAAACTAATCATGTCTTAACTAGGGCTGGGAGAGCCTGCAAAATCTTACCAGGTGATCAAGCTTGTTGTGTGCGGTTGTACATATAATACTTTAAAAAAAATAGTAAAATCCAAGTGAGCACAGGAAGACTTTCTTACTAAAGCCAATGGAAGAAAAAATAATTAAAAAAAAAAAAGATAAATAAATTATGGAAAAAAGATCCCCCGTTGTTCCAATGGGTGATATTTTTGCTGTGGGCTTACAAAGCAGATCATTCTCAGCATTGGCTGATAGTATTACACAAATCTCAAAAGGGACTAAAGAAATACCATAGCACCTTTTTTCTCATTATTTTTTACACTCAGCTCTTAGCTTTTTTATTCTTTCCTTTCCTATAATTTTTTCCTCCTCACAAGAATCTCT